ACTACATGTACCTCAAATACAGCTTGGGATATAGTGTCATGTTGCAACTGAACAGTAAAAACTACAGAAGTGATGGTTTAACCCCTGAAGAAAGCATCAGCAGGTTTCTTGTAAGCCGTATTCATGAAACTATGGCAAATTATTCAATACTTCAGGCAGAACTGGGCATCAGACCCACTGAATATATCAGGTTCTTCAACTGGTATGAGCTATACTAACCTGAACTTTCCATAGATTTGAAGAAAAATACGGAGTTAAAATGAAGTGGTTTTACTTGTTTTAAGGGAAGTAAAGCTAAATTTTAAGGTTCTGCTTAGTAGCTGCACTTTCTCCAATTAGACTGCATGATAGTGGTCAGTCACCGAACTGGGATTCGGTTGTATTGTGTACTTCCATTGGCAGCAGAAGTAAATACGGACACTTCACCCTTTTTACCTCAATGCCAGCTGGACGCTAACACCTGTTAGGTCCTGTTAAGGATTAAAAACCAAAAAAACACAGTTCCTCCATCCCCACCTTACTGAACAGTCTGTTCAGAAGGCAAGTAGACAGCCATAAAAAAACCAACCAAATTATGTTTTGATCAGTGCAAGAAATACTCCACTGCTTACAAAGCATGCAAGTTTCCAAATATACTTATTATTTATTTTGAGTTGGTGGGGCAAAAACCTGCCCTCTTTCCTTTTGCCAAATTCTCAGACATGAGGCACTCATCTTTTGCTGCATTAAGAGCATGTGAACACCAAACGTGTATTTTCTGACTAAGGCCTACAAGCATTCCCAGATGGGAAAAGTGTTAGTTCACATCAGTGGACATCCCCTTACTATAACATCATTACAATCAAAATTGGGCAAGAGAATGTCTTTAAGCAAATGGATCTGATATCAGAAGCGCAGCTGTGTTCGCTACTCCTGCCTTGATCTTGTACACGTGCCATCTTCATCATATTCACCCATCAACTGCAACATATACGTTCCAGTATAGAGAAGAAACTGTCCAGTTATTTGTGCCACATGGGACATTAGCTGAAGCACCTTCCTAGAAGAAAAGCCATTTGTTTAAAAAAAAAATAATCCACCAACAGGGTGACATTACCCCATCCCCCCCAACACCTTTAGGATGAGTTAGGTAGACATATTTAAGAACTCTCCCCTTCCTTCTTGCTTCTGAGAAGCCTGTTATTTCTGTACCTTCTTTAGAGCAAATATTTCTGTGGCCATTGACAGAAAACTATTGGCATGGTGGCAGAACCAGAAAACACATTTAACAAAACAGGCTGTCATCCTGTCAGACATTTACAGGCCTTCTGCAAAGCCATCACTCAAACCACCAGAGCACCACTGAAGACTTAACTTTGCTTGGGAGCCCAGCAGCATTCCTGTAGCATGAATCCACCTCACGTCTCACCTTTAGGCCATTCACTAATACAACATTGCATGTATCTCCAAGCTACAGATCAAACTTGATTAGACCTGAAAGCTGAGCAATCACATTACAGTGGATGCCCAACAGCAAAACAAGTGAAGCCAGGCAAATGAATACCATCCAAGCTGCAAGCCTTAAGAATTCTCAGTTCACAACTATTCTATTGGTTTTTAAAGTTCTAATAAGCATCAGCATTCAAATATATAATACCATGTGAGAATCAGTACGGATCCACAAACTAAGATCAGGCAAGCAGAGGCCTACAACGTAGACTGTGGATTACCACAGGATCTCAGGGGAAGAGAGATCATCATATTTGAGTGGTCATTTATTCAGCTTAGTTATACCAGCACCCTCCTTCCATTCTCCAAGAAACAACTGGAACATGAGTGCCGAGACCTATATTCAAGTCTCATCTCCCGAAAATTAAGTAGGCCCTCACAAGTATGAAGCTAAGGCATTGGGAAAGTGGTAGGCAAGAACTGGAACCACTCCAAAACTGGAAAAGGATCAGTTTCTGAAGATGCGGAAACCAGACCAGCCTTCCTCTTCTGCAAAAAGAGGGAAGATTTTCTGAATTCCTGTCTAAGAAAACACGCAGCTGTGAACCCTCTGCTGATATTCACTTCTCCTTTGAGCTCTGGCAGAGAAGGCAAAGTCTTCTTCCTACAAATTCAGTTTTTTCCACTGTGATGAAAGAAGGTTTGCAGTGAAAATCTAATACTTCAAAGAGTAGAATACCCTGTACTTAGAGCCCGGGAAGCCTTTAAAAAAAACCCACTGTACCTTCATTCATGCTTCCCACACATATTCCATTTCAGCAAGTCCTTCCCTCCACCAGATAGTACAGGCCAAGGAGCTTTACAGTTGTAAAGAACGCTGCACCTGGTACCAAGCTTTTAGGCAGCTGCAGTGTGTCACTTGCACATGAGAGCAGTTGTCACTTAAGCCACAGAGGAAGTTATTTGTTGAACTGGACATTTGATCCTTCAGTTGGACACTACAGGGAGAAACTGTGAGGGGAAATCCACTAATCAGATCTGGCAGGCTTTGAGCCCCTCCTGCCAATGAACAACTGCAGCATTTTAAAGTCCTTTCCCTTCATACTCCACAGGTGGGCTCAGGGAGAGGGCATCAGAGTCTGCTAATGAGTGCCAAATTGCTGGGGGACTGCACCAAGAACCTAACATCATCTGTCTTCAATTTCAATAGCAAGTGGAGACAGGCTATCTCACTGTTATGTTCAACAGTATCCAAGGTTATCTCTTCTGTCCCCCTTGTTCTTTGCTAACATACCATTTTCCCACACTGAGACTGGAACTTCCCTTACAGCTCAACTCTGTAACATAACAGTACTTCCAGAAGAACTCCACAGCTACTTCAGCTGTTCAGCAGTACCATTTCTTTCTCACCAGCTGTCCCATGTTGGCAGGGAGGCAGAACTGTCACTTCAAATTCTCCTTAACAGTGCAAGTTCCAGTGCTGATACTCATCTCCATAGCAGATAGCCAGAAATCAGAGTTTGTTCTGGCTCAAGAGACTTGACAAACATAGGAACTCGAGGAGTACAGCTGCCCTTTGTTTTCAATAAACCCTAATGAAGCCAGTGCTACAGGTGGGTATAGCATATAGCTGGATAATCACTGCAGCATGACCGGAGAGGTGAGTCTCATCTACAGTCACACCAAGCTGTAGCCTGAAAGATTAAGCAAGGGACCACCTCAGTAGAGTGGGAGAGGTCATTCAGACAGAAAGACAGGGAAAAACATTAGCATTACAATGCTTAATACCTGCATCAGGAGAGGTATTCGAACTAAAGACTACATGTTGCTCAGGGAAAGTGAAAACCTCACTTACAGGCATACATATCTGCCTGTTCTGTAGAGAGACAAGTCCTGGTCCTCAAGTAATAAAATGCAGCAACACTACACTTGTGTGTCTCAACCAGAATTTGAAAGGTCAGGTAGAGAAATTAAGGGCTGCAGGTTAAACAGTTGTCAAAGTACAGCACCTCTGTGAAGGAGTCTGAACTTGGAACAAGTTTTCTTCAACCAGGAGAGGTCACAGCTGGTGTTTGACAAGACACAGACTTTCAACACACTGTTGAAAACAGTGGAGAGGACAGGTATCATTTTGCCCCTGCATAAGACAGCATTTCCCAACAGCCAGTTCTACCAAACTCACAACCCACCACAGACTGGTCCTGCAGGAGACAGCAGTCCTTGCTAGGCTCCATTAGTTTGCTTAGAGACCAGCTGGATTAAACAGTGACATCACACAATCTTACTACAGGTGACAAATTCACATGAAGACAGTAGAGAGTGTCATCTCTTCCATTTTCCTTTACCTCCATGTAGCTCAGGTGGTGAGTTTGGCAGACAGGTATTGCAAAGTCTGAGCAAGCTTTAAGACCTCTGCCATTAGGTCTCAAATTCCTCTCTTATTTCATCCCCTTGAAGTCCCCCCTTCTTCCTCAGCTTCCTGCATTCTTCAAAAAAGTCAAAGGAATCTGAGACATTCTCTCAGGAAGACAAAGAGACTGTACCTACACCCTTGCAGTAAATACAAGCTGATAAGATTTTGCCTTGGAGGAAATTCATGATTCCACCATAAAAAGCTATAGTAAGTTTTTTTACAAGTCAGCTATCCACCTTACAAAGAAGAGTTAGCATATTGGCCAGTATATAAGAATTACTAAAACCACTAAGTTTATAAACACCCCTGCTTCACAGAACCAATAAACAAACATAGATTTTACTTTAACACATACACCCCATCAGTAGCAGAAACATACTTACCGCAATACACTTTTTGCTCCCATACATTTTATGTCGTATGAGACAGAGTAGATCTCATAGAAGGTTGCCTTGATGTTTAAGCAGCCAATAAAATCCTTAGGGTTCAGCTTGTACAGATCAAATGTGATGTTAGCTACTCCCATTTTCTTCTTTTGTCTCATAGCAGCGACTCCATTTCTTGTCTAATTTAAAAAGAGGGAGAGAGACAGTTTGTACCTTGAGCCAGGAAACTACAGCAAGACAATCGCTAATAGTCCAGCTCTTTAGAAGCAGCTTGCTTATTCTGGTCTTCAGGCTAGTTCTCAATCAATTCTAAACTAGAATGAAAAGCATTAGCACAGAGAAAAGCCAGTCTGTATAGCTTACGTAATTTTGTTCAAGTCCTGACCAGGCTATTCCAGGCAGATACAGAAATTCTAGAGAGACATAGCACCTCCTGAATATTTCTTTCCTGTAAGACAGCGTCTTCTTCAGAGTATACTGAGGCCACAGGTAATGCCACTGGACAGTGCTCCTGCCATTTAATTACCCTGGTATGTTCCAGCTGCTGGCTGAGGCACCGCAGATAGTCCACACTGAAGTAGGCGACCAAATAACCAGGATGACATTTGGTCCTTCTGTTTAAGAAGGAATACTATACTGATGAGAGCTCTTTAGAGATAGCTGCAAAGATGACGTTTGTGAAAAGTCAGCTCCTCATTTCAAATCCTGGCACATAACACCTCTTTTTCTTCCTACTAAAAAAGTAACATCGGGGGGGGAACCACCAGTGATTTGGCCAAGGGATTAATACTGAGTTTACGAGAAAAAGCAAAGGAGGAGGAGCGTGGAAAGTCTTCTTCCACCTTGAATTCAGCCTCCTTTATTGAAAGCAGCCCTTATCTGTTTCAGAGCTGACAGTGGTGCTTTCAGGATCGCTTGCTTCAAAAAAAAAAAAATAGTAGAGAAAACCCATATTTACAGAGACATCTAGTGGATACATGGGATATCCTGCTCAGCACATTCTGCCCAAGGTTAATGACTTTGCAACTTGCAATCTGTTTTTTTTGCACGCTGAATGAGGCAATAAAGTTGGGTAAGACAGGGCCTTTTTGTACTTGTCACCCCAGCGCTCAGACAGCGCCTCGCTAAGTCAGACTGAGTTAAACACTGTAGTATATCATTAGCCAGCAATTTTATGCCTGTTTTACTTCGATAGCCTCCAAGCTCCAGCAACAGGGCCCCCTATCAGCAACAGCTTTGGATACATACAAGCAGTTGGTATGCCTGGTAGCGTATCCCCCATTAGCACCCAGAACATTCGGATAAAGCATGATGGAGCTTGTGCTACGCTCCAGACCTCCTGCAGTCATTCAGCACAGCCTGAAGAGGGGCAGCACTCAGACCTGTTCTGCTGCCATGCCAGACGCGACATGGGGCAGAGAGGGAAGGAGCAAGGAGGAGTCATACCCTGGCTCCAACTTCTTTTCTGTTCTTGGAGCTCACAGCCCAGATGCAGCAGGTTGATAAACCAGTGAGGTGTCATGGGCAAAAAAGTACAGGCTGCCCACACTGCAACGGGACACTGAGAAAACAGGGCTACACGGCTGAGCCATCCGCGTACAAACTGAAGAAGGGTAGGCCTGCTTACAGCTCCTCAGCTAGCGCTGCACCTGGTAGAAGAAATTTTGATGCTAGCTTTCTAGCAACAACCGTTTCACGGGAAGAAAATTAGGAGTTTGACTATCTTATTAACATGCAGTTGCCTATTCCCCCACAAAACCGCAAGTCGGACACCGAGCTGACATGATTAGAAGGCTAAAGCTAGCCAATCTTTATAGTTCTTAAAATGTCTTGAAGCATGTTGCCTAACAGTAGTTTTTGATGACAACTTTTAGCTGTTTGCAAGATTAAGCTCAGGCATTTTTCTAACCTTCACTAAACCATTACTGCATTGACAAGGCAAAACTTGTTTTACATTGCTTAATTTGGGCATTTTTTACCCTCTAAAATCTAACATTTAAAGACATTTATTTTTAATTTCATGCAGTCAAAGTCCTAATTTTCCTTATGTTACAAAAAAAGCTCAAGAACAAAGTTATTTCTGAGACCCACCAAAAGCAGGGGATTTCCCCTATTATTCTTTTCAGTTCATTTCATCATTCATTTCAATTCTTGAATTCTTGGTAGATCTATGCCCAAGCAAGGGACAAAAAAAAAAAAAAAAAAAAAAGAACTTGATTTGTCATCCAGGAAGGCTCACCAAGGAGTTGATACCTTGCCTTCTTTAGGGGAAATTTTCTTCCTCTTCTCCCCTCTTTCCAAAAATTTTAGCAGCCACGGACATTTTTGCATCCACTTCTGTTCAAGTGAGAGAGAGGCACTTAACACTTACTTGTGTCCATTTTTGTCCTTTTTCTAGAACCATGAAGTGTGTGTTATCATCTAGGGACTTGAAGAACTCTTCCGTGTCCACAACTGTGCCATCTTCCTCCAAAACCAGAGTAACTATTCCAGCAGATATAAGGAAGGCATCTAAAGTCTGCAAAAAAACCATTTGATTTTAACATTTGAAAGGGGTTAAAATAATTTAAATGATCTAAAATAATTTCATATTAAGAAGTGCTTATCTGCCATATTCTCCTGAACTTCCCCAGTAATGATTTTTAGAAGAACAAGAGTTAGTGTGTTGCCTTTCTGGGATACTGTACTTCTATACTACAGTATATAGTATATATATACACTTTTATACTGAGACTATAAGTTTCAGCCAGAGTGGGAATGTTTGCTATACCTTGCTGATGAGCTCTTGCAGACTGCTTGCAACGATTCCTTTCCGACTGCTTCGGGAGGCATTGGACACACGGAAGGGTCGCCCTGCAGGCATGAGAGGAGGGAACAGGGTCTGTTTTGTTACTGCTCCCACAGATGTTCCCATGGATACCAAAGATCTAAGACAAATAAAAATTCGGCATAGTTATAAAAATAGTCATGTCAAGTACTGCGAGAAGGAGGACTGTTGAGCTCCGTGACGTAAGAACATCATACGAGTAATTCCCAGGTCACGTTAGACTCGCGGAGCTTGCTTTCAAAGCTACTACATAGCCCTACAGACGTGTTGCCTCTGTGCTTTCTCTTGCTAGTGATATTTGAAAACACTTCTAAAATGAAAAACATTTCAAGCAGATGAGGGCCACCTCTAGCCCAGCTGATGCCAAGGTCATGATTACAGTGAGGCTGACAGGTTTTAACTCTGAATTGGGAAGGCAGCAGCTCTTACTGCATTCAGCCATATAGATAATTCTTTTTACCTGCAAGATAAAGAATCAGACGATACACAAAACTCCTTTCAACTAATTATAAGATATAAGTTCACTTGAGGAAGATTGAACATATTATCCATATTCAAAACACCTAGCATCAGAACACAACTGGAGCTTTTCGATATAGTTATGCTTGACTTCCAAACAGCCAAGGCGTTTATCTTGTAAATAATATCTACAGTCTATAAAACTTCATCTAGTTCTGAAAATGACAAAATAAAACTTGTTTGTGCCCTAGTGTATCAGAAGTCAAATGAAATTAAAATTAAGATCAAAGTACATAAGTGGATAGTGTTGGAGCAGGCTGCCAGAGAGGCTAAAAGAATTCAAACACTTTTAGAAGGAGGTTTTAAATTTTCCCAAGCAATTGTGTGTTTTAATAGTGACTGTTCAGGTTCCCTGAGCATGCACAACTCATAACTGCCTACTCCCACTCCAAGGTACAGACCTGCTCCCATCTACATCTAGTAACAGCTTTTTGCTGCCAAATTACATTGGTTAATTCAATAGCCAGCCAGTTTGCCAAAAATCACCCTCTGCATGACACCTGGAAAGGACTGATCTCTTAACAAGACTTTTACAGGGAGATAACACTTTGCCTCTCAGATTCCTGGACTTTACGCCCTGTACACCTTTTGCTCCTTAATACTGAATTGCACAAGAGGGGGAAAGGAACGCATCCCTATTTTGTTGTCCCTCTTAGGTGTAAAAGGTCAGCTTTATGTAGGAAAAGTCTATCCTCAGACACTTTCACAGAGGGGGAGGGAGTGAACTGGCAGTCTCTTTCTGCAGCCAAAGAGCGAATATAGGAATTCCTGGAACCATGATGAAATGATAGAGAGTTACCCAACTAATAATGTCCCACTCACTAACACCTTTTTGTGCAAGTCAGCATTGACCAGGGAGAATAACTATCTTTTCCCAACCTCTTACCTGGTCTTCAAGCATATTTTTGGGATGCAAAGTAATTTCTGTGACTGGCCAGACAGAGTTTCAGCAATTAATTTATTTCCTGCTTTCACTCTGAGCTGCTGTTCGACAGGGCTTTGGGCCATTGCCTTTCCTCTGCACACTAAAAAAGTTTCTCTTCCTCAAAAACTCCTCAGCATTATTGGAGCTTTTATTTTTTAAAAGAAGGGGGATGTTCAATAGCATTATCCTAGCTTAGGCTAATACCTTCTTGGTACTGCTGTCTAAACACTAGGTCCCTGGCTTTCAACAGTTTGCATATATACACACACGACTGATAGAAACCTCCTCCTACCTGTAAAAAAGGCGGTGAGGATGAGCAATCAGTATTGTTCTGAGGAGACAGGGACTGTTCCAAATCAATGAGCTAATAAGCACTTTCCTCCTGGAGAAGGGTCAAGACCAGGGAGGAGGACAAGGTAACAGAATGGCACTGACAAAGGCGTTGAAGCTCCACAGAAGGGAAGCCTGCCAGGACAGGGCGTGCTTGTTAATCTCTCCACTGACTAAGTCAATAGTCCCCCAACCACCCCACTGGTCCGTGGGCAGCTCCCATTCTGAATCACTGAGTCTTTTCCTCACATCTGAAGCCTGCTCATCTACCTCGGGGCTGGTGACTCCACTTCACAGGGCACCCTGATGTTAGAAAGTGCAACCCTCAGGATTCAAGAGACAACTCCTTCAGAGCTAGCTACATCCCATTCCCTCTCACACATCTTTAAACTAGCATGTAGAATAGTTACTTGAGTGCCATGTATGACAGTACTGCCAAGATTTTTTTTTTTTTTTGAGAGGACAGAAAATACCAGTCCTGTTAGACAGTTTTCTTTCCCATTACTTAAGCCAAGTTGTCATTCACAAAAGACAAAGCATATGAAAAGAAGCCAAAACATAAATCCTGATACAAAAGAAAGAGCATTAGGGGCACAGCTCATGGGCAGGACTTGAGCTAACAGGGTTCACCTCAGGCATTAGCACAGCCAGCTATACAAGCCATATCTTACAGCTCTGAGCAGAAGTTTCTTCAGGATTCAAGATCAGTCACCTCACACTGCTGACTAGTTCTATCAGATGTAAAAAGCTCGAGAAAAAAAAAACAGATTAATAAACTAGGACTTTCATTAGTTCGACTAGGCAGACTTAACAGGAGTCCGAGTCTTAGAGTTATTTAACATCCATGCCGTTTAACCTACATTTCAATAAAACCAGTCAATATCATCTTAAAACTAAGTCTGCTTATGAAGCTGTGAGCCTGGGCTCCAGTGCAGGCTGAGGTTTCAGTTAATGAAAAGTACTAGGAAAAAAAAGCCAGTGCGATTTAAAAAAGCCATATAAAAAGAGTGTGAACCTTTACATTTCTGTATCTATTGTGGAAAGCTTGGTTTTCCTTTGTTTCCCCCCACGAGGGCCAAAGACCCAAACAGTCCAGCCTAGGTTCAGGGCTCCCAGAAAGATCCCTTTTCGCTGCAGCTGTCCTCAGAAACCAGACAAACTGATTCCTGATGCGGGGAATTCTTCTGTTAGATTGAAGTTACCGAAAATAATTTCCTATTAAAAGCTGATCAGGCTAAGTCAGGACACAAGCAGTGGTGAGGAAAGGAACGTACTAACGTGTGGTCAGCTTTGTTAGAAAGCTGAGTGACACATTAGATACAGACAATTCCACTATCATTATTACTTAAAGCTGAAAGGATCAAGTCCTAGCTCTTCCCTAAAGGGGAGAGGGATCCTATATCAGTGGAAAACATAAAAATATAATTGAAAGAGCAAATATCTTCAGACTCTAGCATCTTGTCCAGTTTGTTTTGTATAACTACAGCCTGCTAGAGAGAGCCTTGCAGATACTGCCCCAAACACCCAGTGTAGCGTCAAGGCTGGTGGGACACACGAATTAATTTTTTTTTGAGGAGAACCCGGTGATTAGAAGCCTGCCTTGAGCCCTGTACACATATATCACTTTATCTTTGTTTGCAATATGCCTCATATGTTTGTCTAAGAATGTGGTGCAACGGTCTTCAGCCTCACTCAGAAAAATCAATGTTGCACAACACGAGTGGCTTCAGAATATGCCACGCTTTGATTTTTAGGTTAGAGTTCACAGAGCAAATGACAACGACAGTAACAGCGAAGTGCGTGTGTGAGGTCAGAAATTCGTTCGGCCAGCTTGCAGGCTCGGTTTCCCTGCTAAAACACGAACCGTAGGGAGCCATCAGGAGGACAGCTAGAGCCAGACGCACCCGAGGGCGCTCGGCGCTGTGCCTGTACGGACGGGGCTGGCGCACCCGGCCCGGGAACGGCGGCCAGCGGGGGGCTGTCGGGGGACCACAACCGGCTGCCACCCAGCTACACCCGCACAACAGCCGGCAGCTTCACACATCCCAGCCGTTGCACCCCAGAAAGCGGTTAAAACCCCAAAGCTCCCACTCGCAATCCCCCGGGAAGAACTCCATGGGAGGCTGGAAAGGCTGCGAGAGCACGCCTGCTTCCTTCTCCCACTTAGCGCCCATCAGATTTAATCCCCCCCTTCTTCCCCTCCCCACACTCACCGCACCAGCGAGCCCACGCACTCCCGTGCCACATCCATGGCCGGACCGGCCGCGGGGCAGCGCCGGGACGCGACCCTTAAGTGGCGGGGGCGGACGGTGCTCCTCCCCGCCGAGGGGCGGGAACGGGACGGCACGGCCCCTCCGCCCCCCGGTCCTTCCCCCGCCGCGGCCCCGGGAGCCGTGCCGGAGAAGGAGGGGGGTGAGCTGCCCAGACAGCCCGACCCGAGCAGCTTGTCACGGCGGCGCTGAGCCTCAGCCGGGTTTGAAGCTTGTCCGCAGCACGAAAGGGGGTTGTGTGTGTATCAGCAGGTGCAAGACCATATTGTCTAGGTTGGAAGGGACCTTTAAGATCATCAAGTTCAACCATCAACCTATATACTGCCAAACCCGCCACTAAACCATGTCCCTCAGCACCACATCTACCTGTCTTTTAAATACCTCCAGGGATGGTGACTCCACCACCTCCCTGGGCAGCCTGTTCCAATGCTTGACTATCCTTTCTGAGAAGAAAGCTTCCTAACATCCATCCTAAGCCTTCCCTGGCATTACTTGATACCCCACTTTGGAAGGAATCCTTCTTTAGGAGAGTTTTTGTCTTGTGATTTACCCGGGAAATGAGCAAGAAGGATTTTGTTTAGTGTGTATCTGAGTGACAGACTACATATTAGCTAGTTACAGCTAATATAGCAACAGTGGAAGCCAATCTCATTTGAAGCCTCTCAGCATTAGAGCAAATCAACAGATTAAGTGTCTCAGCTTCTCATTTTAGAGCCTGTGAATAAGCTTACAGCTTGGATTAATGTATACACTAGCACCAGTGGAGGTATTTAGCGTTATTCCTACAGGGAGGGGAGCAGCAACTTCTGTTTACTGAGCAGGTACAAAGGCAGGTTTTCCTTTTTATGGATGCCTATAGACACAAATACAGTATTTTTTTTGGCTCTGAAACCAGGTTTTGTTTCTCAGAGCTGTCAAATTGCTATTGCACAGGGAAAACAGAGCCAGGAGCCTCAGAACCAGGCAGCAGCCTGACTTAGGGCCAGCACTCACGCTGGGAAACCCTCTCCCTGCTGATTAGGGAGAGGCTTTGGAGGTGGCCTTTGCCACCAGCACTCAGGCTACCCCCAGGGTCACAAATAGACAGTTACCTGGATTGTTTTTCCTGCACCAGCCTGTTTAGGGCAGGAAGAGCAGCTCACAGTACTTCTTCACTCTCCACTTTTGTCCAGCAGGCAGGCTGAGGCCTGCTAGGTGTCTTCAGTCCTCAGCTTTGGGGCCCTTATCAGCTATTAAAAAAACAAACAAGCAACCTTTTAGTCCAGGGTGAATTGTTTCCTTGGCTAGCAACTCATTCCCAGCCTGGTGGAGTACACAGCTCCTTCCCGGAGAACAAAGCTTAGCCCAAAAATCTTCTCCCTGGGACACTGAACTCAGACTTTTC